TAATATAATTTTTATTTAATAACCATATTATTTTAAAAAATTAATATTTAATAATTATTATTCTATTTTAGTAATTGTATTGATATTTTAATAATAAAGTAAAATGAAATAGAAGTATGTAGTATTTCATTATAAAATCACACAAATAAGAATGGTAATATGATTTTTTATTAGAAGGAATATTATTAGTGGTATAAATAAACAAAGAAAATGAGAAGTTATAAAACAATTAATAAAAAAATTATAGAAATATGAATGAGACTTGTGAGTTTTCTTTTTTTAAGAAAATGAAATAACCCGTTTGTTTCATGGGAATCCAAGATTTATATTATATTTGATAGACATTTAGATTCACACGTTTGTTTCAAGAATGTAGGATACTTAGGTATATCCTAGGATGTTCACCAGGGCTATTCACAGGTTGGGTTGGGTCGGGTTAGGCGTTTTTTTGGACCAACCTGAATAGATAAGCAAACAGAAAGAACCGAAGGTAATTGCCAACCCAACCCAATTTTTTCTGGTTGGGTCATCGGGTTGCCTTTTATTCTTCCCCTTTCTTCTTCTTCTCTGGAATACCAGTTGAAATCCACCGACTTCATTGACATGGCCACCGCCACAATGTCCATCACCGTGAACACCATGTAGATCAATTGTAACTGTGTAGGCGGCGACGAACACAATGGTGGCGATTAGGACCGCGATGACAGAGCATAACTTGGAGGAAAGGGTTTCTTTCGAAAGAGTTGAGAACTTCCTCTTCTTCATCGAAAGGGTTTGTTTCGTACCAACCATCCATGGCAGAAGTGGTTCCAGATGCAAGCTAAGAAACGGGATCATAGAACCTCAGATCTGATATAAACAAAGGAAGGTGGAAATCCCGAGCTCAAAGAACTTTGATGGTGGACCTTACAGAGCAGAGGGCGAGATGAGGGATGAACGTGAGAGAGTGAGCAAGGGTCGACACGAGATGCTTGGAGAAGATTGAGATGAGATTCGAGACATGGGAGAAAGAACCTGAGATTTGAGAGGGAGGTTGAAAAAAACTAAAACTGAACCCCTAAGAAAATATTATATATATATATATATTGCTGGGTACTCTGTCTTAAAACTCGTAGTTTGTGAACAGTGAACATTAATGTGAGGTTATTCAAACAAATTTTGTTAAATGAAAGTGAATTTGTTTTTTAATAAATCCAATAAACTACAAACCCTTGACTATTATAATGAGTACTTGGACTTTATGTGGAGACATAAACTGGATCAAGTTCAAGTAAATAGCCTAAACAGTCTATAGTACATGGATCAAGTTGGGTACCTTTTCCTAGAGACACTATTGAATACAGCTCGCTTTATGATTGTTACAAATGTTGTAAGGTGTCATAAACGAAGTGATCCTGATTCGTTCGTGTAGAAACATGTGAGCAAGGGTGTTCTACACAATGAGATTGTGTAAGACTGACCTTGAAATAATTACTGTTACGTATTAACACCGTTTACGGATAATACTGATTAATTTCGTTTATCGATGACCTAAATAACTTGATCTAAATCCTGAGCCATCTATGAACTCCTATTTATTCAGGATTCTCCCTTGATTTGCATAGGTGAGAGTAAGCTCATCAGCGCTGCTCAATATGCCTCCCATTTCAGGGATAAGACTGGGTAGATAGCTGGGGACATAGAATTAGCAAGACGGAATTCACTCCTACCCGATTTAGGGATAGTAGAGAGGTTGTTCCCTTAAGGGCTAATCCCGGGTCTTGAACACATCCTCTCACTGACCCGAGAGGAATTGGATTTAGTGATTTGATCCTAAATCAATTGTTCATTAGAGGGATAGTGATACTTAAGGAGAAAAGATGTAACTCAGGGGTAAAACAGTTTTTTTTTACCTAGCTGAGGTTACGAACGGCCTGTGAAGGATCAACTTACTAATGACGGTTATACCGAATGGACACAAATATATCTACAGTGAGGGGAGTGCATCTACAAGCTATAGTGGACAGTCATGTTAGTCAACGAATGTTGATTAACTAAGTTAAAGAGTTTGACCGGTTAGTCTTGAATCATTTGAGACCATGATCTGTAGGTCCAACGGGTCTCCATGCTAGCTCATAAAGGATAAAATTGATGAACTAGGTGAAGCAAGAATTTGAAGTGTTCAAATTCAGTTTTTAAGGGAATATTGTATTTTATATGAGATATAATATATAATCTAATTGACATTTAATTATTATGGAGAGTATGACTTATTTAAATTAGTTTTAAATAAGTTCAAAGCATGAAAAAGAGTTGTAATTTGATTAATGTGATTAATCAAGCTTAAGTGTCAAAGACCAATTAATATGAGATATTGATTTGACTTGGTTTTTGTTTTAATAGAAAATTGATATTTCAATTTTTGTTTTTATAAAAATTAGTTTTATCAAAGTTTTATTTAAAAAATCAAGTTAGTGGGAAAATCCAACTTCAAAGGCAATGACACCTATCTTTTACATGCTAGTGGAGTTTGAAGTGGAAGGCATAGCATGCATGCACTTGGTCTTTATATAGGTGATGAAGATCACTTGGATAAGGCTAATGCTTCCTTGCATAAGTGCAGAATTTTTCCACTCAAATTTCTATTGTCTTCTCCTAGTCATTAGTGTTTTCCCTTTGTTTTCACTCAAAATTCGGTCCCACAACCGTGTTCATCAACCCAAGGATACCACGGATTTGTCGTTGATAGTCTCATTGAGTTAGGAGAAGAAGTTATAATGGAGGTTTTCAAAGGTATATAGTTAATCTCTTTCTCTTTACCTTTTTTATCATTTTTCTAAGCATGTTTATTTTAGTTAAATTGCTTCATTAACTGTATTGTGATCCTTAGCTTCCACTGTGCATGTCTAAGAGTTCCATCATATATATATATATATATATATATATATATATATATATATTTCAGTTCGGTTTGGGTTGAACCGAATTTATTTTATTGAACCTGTGAACCGAACTGAATCGAACCGCTCAATTCGTATAAAATATAACCCAACTCAAACCGAAATTTTATCTAACCCAACCCAACCCTTACAATTTGGATTGGTTTGCTCAGGTTCTTCGAGTTGTCGGGTTTTTTGAACACCCGTAATGTTCACATGGGAGACATCTAACCTGTTTTGGATGCCCTTTGAAACATGATTTTTAAGATTTCAATGATCTCTTTACATTTTTGCTCTTCATTTTTTTCATATATTTTCTTTAATCAATTTTTTATTTCTATTTTTACTTTTATAATTTAAATAAATTAATACACACATTTACTAATAAACAACTTTATATATTACATATACATATATAATAAGTTTCAATTAAATTATATAATATCTCCATTTATTTTTAATATTTCGAAGGAATAATTATTAATAATAATATGTATTGTCTTAAATATATAAATTTAAAGCTATTTTTTTTAACAACCAACATTCATTTGATATTTTTCTTCCTAAAAAAATATAATTTGATAATATGATAAATTAATTTCGCCCAAGATAATATTTGTCTTTTTTAAAAGAAATTAAAGTCGAAAATGAAATTTATATATAATATTAATTATTTTTAAAAGAACTAATAAAACAAATATATTATATAAATGTAAATTACATTGAATTAATGTATAAATTAGATTACTATTTGTAATGACATTTTTATAACATTATATAAATTTAAAATATTCTTAAGAACAAATCCTACAAATAAACATGACTATCTGAATATTCTTGAACACTTTCATAAATTTTCCTACCAACAAATGTGGCTATCTAACAATGACATACATCTTATTTCACGCATTTGAAGATGCTAAACATAAGTCTTACCTAAAAAGACAAATGGCCCCTTGATAGGAAGGGTGATTCTCAAAAGTCTAATTAATTATATTCCTACATTTTAGTAAACACTATCAAAGAAAATGAGAATTCATTCATTCACATGAAGTAAATGGAGTCTTAATCCTTAACAATAATATATGACGTTGTTAACCAGGGTCCACTAGTCAAATCAAACAAAGTCGTGGCATATTTTAACTAGATTACTCAAAAAAATTGGCCCCAAATGAAATATTTATGCCTTTTTTTAATCAAGATTTCTAACATTCTGCCAGTGTCAACAAGTACGCAATATTATATTTCTGCCCTGAAAATATTCGCCTGAACAATGTGAAGATTTTTTTTTTCTTTTTCTTAAATCTATATGGAATCCCTAGGTACTCGACAGGTCGACGAGGGGGAAAATTGTTTTTTCCTCTTCTCGACGACATGTTGACATGTCGATGAAATGTCAACATGTCGACCAAATGTCGATTGATTTTTTTTTTCAAAGTTTGTAGAAGAGCGCAAAAAAATCGAATATTATACGACATTGGGCATTTTCTATTTGTTAAATTTGTATCCTTTTGGTTAAGAAAAAAGAACAAAGTTAAATATTTAACTATAAAAAATCTAATAAAATCTTAAAGAAACAAAAAAAATTAATTAAATTTAACTAAAAAATTAACAAACTCTTAAAGTAATCGATTTAAAAAAGACAACTTTCTGATTTAAAAAAGACAACTTTTAAATTAAATTCAACTGATCAAATCTTAACATTAAACTTTAATTCACTAATCAAAGAATTTTCATATATGTATACATAGTTTTGTTTCGACATTTTCTATCACAATGACATTCCCATAAGTAGATTACTTATATATTTAGATATGGGCAAAAGATTCAACACGTGATTAAGGGAAAGGAGCGGGAACGTGATCGAGGAAGAGGAGCAAAACATATTTCGCTTGATTTCTAACACTAGCAAAAAGATTAGAAAAACAAAAAGCAAAAATAAAAAATAAAAATAAAAAGAACAGTCCAAACATATCTCATTAACAAACAAATATTTAGTTCATCTAGTCAAATTCTCCAAAGTCGTAGCCCATCCATAATTACGTCTTGGCAAGAATATATATAATAAACAACTAATGCCCATGGTTAAATAGTGGATCTATCATTAGAAAATCCATAAAAAAGCTCGTTTATAACCCTTCTAAAAATTTCAAAGCTGATTAACAAATTATTGCCTACAATACAATCAGTCAACTGTTGTCTGGGCTAATGAACATTCCCAGGCACTTACATACTGCTATTGTCAATCAAGAAAATATCACTAAAAAAAAATTTCCAGGCAGAGGAGGTAGAAAAACAACTTCGAATTCACCCAACATCGATCATGAAAAGCTACTGCAAAATTCACTACCATCATCGTGTTTTTGGGTAAATTCAAGCATTTCAGTATGAAAGAGAGCTTGATATCATGCAGTTGTCTTCAATTCTGAAGCAGTACTTGCATAAACAGGATGAAGAACGTGTCCTTCCTTTGGAATAACATGTACCCACTTGCGTCCGCTGAGCTTGTGCTTTTCGAACTTGATGCAGCCTTCTTTCAGAGCGAAAAGCGTGTGATCCTTCCCTATTCCAACGTAATTTCCCGGATGGAAACGGGTGCCTCGTTGACGGACAATAATGTTACCTGGAATAACTCTCTGTTCCATAAGAACGTGACGGAGTTAACAACAAAACAGTTTCAATCAATTCCAGTTCTAGTTTATGAGAATGCAAGTTCAATTTTTTGTCTTGCACTCACCTCCCCACCAAATTTCTTTACCCCAAGATTCTTGGGTTTTGAGTCTCGTCCATTTTTAGTCGACCCAGCTGTCTTTTTGGTAGCCCAACGTCTGAATAATAAGCTTAATCCAACAGCAGCTCCATCTGAGAATCAATTAAACAAATATTGTAATCATCAAATATGTAGACAAAGTAGCATAACAAGCACAACTTGATCTAATTGAACCATCCTTACCACTAAAACTGCTATATACAGGAACATTGGTAACCAAATCCTTGACATTCAGTCTTTTGCAAAATGCAGTCGCAATATTAAGCATGATTGTATTTAATATAGCCTATCCTGAAAATATGACATAAGACAATTAGGACATATAACATAGTTTGGTTCAACAAGTTCGAAGGAGTAAAATTCCAATCTTAAGTATACCATATATAACATAATCTAGTTAAACAAGCTCAAATGGGCATAATCTAATAATAAGCCTACCATTTACATCTAAGAAAATACTTCGCGACAAGCCGGCAACAAGTTTTTCAAAAGGTTACATCTATTCTTTTTAAATCCTTCATAGTTAACATGGATCCAAGAAACAAGCATGGATATTGGACAAAATGTAGGCATCAACAAGAGTTTCATTCAAACATGCTCAAACCTAGCACTTACAAGTGGACATACCAATTCATTTAAAAAAGGACAAATTGCACAAACCCTGAAGTATGGAGGTTACAGTTGCACCTACAACCTTTTAATGGTAAAAATTAAACCATCAAAACTTTTCCAACTGAAAAAATGCACTCGTGAATTTTGATAGTAAAAATTAAACCTTCAAAGCTCGATAAATGAAAAAACTGGGTCCTTTAAATTACTTTTCTCTCTCACTCTTCTCTCCTTTCTCTCACCCTCCATGTTCTTGATGAACTCAGAAATTTCTTGCAACAGCAAATTGTCTACTCAAGGACATGCAGCAAAAAGATTGTCTTCATCTATGCTACCTTTGTGATGCTAAATGTAAGGGATTCGATCTCTTTGCTTTTCAAAAATCTTTTTTAGTTAAATTGTGTCGTCAAGATCCGCTAAACCAATTTCTAGCACATGCTTTCACTACACCTGGCCGTTGCATCCACTTCGACTTCCAGCACTTAACCACCAAGGCTAAAAGAGAAACATGAATTCTAACAAAAGACCAAACCTCCACCCAAGATCTCTCCATTCCTCTAAAAATTTTAATGTTTCTCTTCATCCACAAACCTCATAAAAAAGCACAAATTCCGGCAAGCCAAAGAAAACGCCCCTTTTTTTATAAGAAAGAAAAGGCCCTTTACCACGAAAGGGCGAAAGAGTGAACAACTCCTCTAGCTGTGCACTAACATCTCTAGGACGAGCAAGGCTGAAACCAAACTCTTCCAAAAAATTGTTCCAAACCAAGTAAGAAAAATTATATCTCCAAAGAAGATGATTGAGATCCTCCACACCACCCCATGCAAATTGATTGTTGTTGGTGAAGCTTGTTCCCAGATATGGGACCTACTACTGCAAATTGATTGTTGTTGATGAAGCTTGTTCCAAAATATAGGACCTAGGCTTTCGTAGATTCTTAAGAAAGATGAGGGTGAGGAGTGGGCCTATCTTCCTAATCTGCTGGATGTTGGTACCAGTGCTATAGATAAATGACTTTTGCAAAAGTCTTTCTTCAACATCTTCTCAATTAGTTCCTCATTCTCTTATCTGGGTGATAACACTAAGCATTCTATAGATACTCTCTATGACAAGATTTGGCATCAAAGAAAAACACCGATTTGGCATCAAGGAAAAAACACCAACATCGTTATGTCTCCAAATTGGTGTGTTATGAGAAAAGAATATTATAAGTCTCAAAGCCACCTCTTCTACGGATGCTCCTTTGCTCAAAAAATTTAGACATACATTTTTTTTATAAGAAACCGAACTTTTCATTGAGAAGAATGAAAATAAAACAGAAATACAGGGGCAACAAAAAACACAGCCCCGAGAAAGGAAGCCAGCCTAGAGAAAGGGCTTCCAATCCAAAAGAATATGATCTAATTGATAATTACAGAATAAATTCGAAACGGACCCTCATAAAGAGACATTAAACCTTATGAGGTCCCAAACAAACTCCCACTCTCTTTCCACCCCCTAGAATCCCCTAGAGATTCTATTGTTTCTTTCCCCCCAAATACCACACAAAATCCCAAAGAACCCCGCCAGCCAAAGGAATCTCCCTTTCTCGCGAAAGGGGGAATACAACAACACTTCCTCCACCATCGACACCCACTCTCTATGACGAGCCCAAGAAATTTCAAATATCTCAAAGAACCGGCCCCAAATATTCGGGGAAAACTAGCACTGCCATAAAATATGATCAATGTCCTCTGAATCCCGCTTACAAAGAACGCACCAATGCGGCCCCAAGTAAGAAGAAGAGCGCTTCTGAATACAATCCATGGTGTTGACCTTCCCAAGTAAGACCTGCCACATGAAAATTTTAATCTTCTTCGGATTCTTCACTTTCCACAGCGAGGTAAACACAGGGGCCACAGGGGGAGAAGCAGGGGAACATAAGAGTTTAAAGAAAGAACTAGAAGAGAAGCCCCTAGAAGGGTTAGCGGACCAAGCACGGAAGTCCTTCCTATCACAAGAGAGAGAAACTGCAGAGAGCATGTGGATCAACTCAGACACTTCTCGAGTCTCTCTATCAGTTAAAGACCGAGAGAGGCCCAGAGATAAAGACAACCCATCCCCCCCATTCTCCAACACCGAGGTCACCAAGTGCAGCCTTCTGTGTGACAAATGAAAAATGCGAGGAAACAAAAAATAAAGAGGTTTTTCTCCCACCCAAGTGTCTTCCCAAAAATAAATATCATGCCTATCCCCCACTATACAGGTTAGGAGTTGAGAGAAAAAAGGAAGGCCCGAGGAAATAGCCTTCCAGGAGTTATTCACACTAGCCTTAAGCCTTCCGCCAGCCACCCAATCGAAGGGATGAGGACTGTACTTACTCACGATGACCCTCTGCCACAAATGGAATCTGGTCCTTCCTAAAGATATGCGTGTTTTTCTCCGTTTGATCCTCACAGGTCATCCTTGCAAGAAAGATAATGAAACTCCATGGCTGAATATTATGAGATCCTTCTTATGGGCTCGAGGTTCAAAAACAAGGCAAAAGTGCTTTGGAATTGTGTCTTCAAGGCTATTTTGTGGTTGATTTGGAAAGAAAGAAACAATAGATCGTTTGAAGATTCGTTTTTTACTGAGGATTTTTGTGGAACAACGTACGGCATATATCTTCTTAGGGGTGTTCTAACCATAAGAAGTTCTTTTGTAATTATAGCCTCATGATTTTGTATGATTGGAAGGCCCTGATTCCGTTTGTTTTGGGTGGGGGTGACCTCAACCCCGCCTCTAGGCTGTCTCCTACTTCTCTCTTTTGTATGAATCTATTCCTTGTTTCTTATCAAAAAAATAATAAATGAAATGGTCAGCAGAATAATTGCATTTACAAAGATAAATATGCTTCTTAGGATAAATTGTTTAATTCTATCCTGTGCATTCTCCTTCTGGGGTAAACGATTTCATCCCTTTACAGGTAAATAGGTTACATGATCTTTTGACAAACTAGATAACCATTTAGCAATTTTTTTTTGCTTGGGGATAGCTCCCTTCTCTCTTAAAAATAAAATGGAAAATTGTTACTAGAAGAAAATTAATACATTTATGAATGTAATGGGCTAGAATGGATGAGTGTAAAATTTACATCCTCAGGTTTATTTTCGATACAATCCATTTTCTAGAATGAAACAATGGTTGTAGAAGCTTTACTAAGAATATGAACATTGAAATTGGAAAAGAAGTGTCCAAAAACAGGTTTGATTGTTTGTTTGAATAGCCTCTCTTCAAGGTATTATACTGCAGAAAACTTATAGAAAAGTATCCTTAGATGGCCTAATTCCCTTCACGATGGACTTGTTGTCTAGAAGATGTTCTCTTTATCAAGAAGAGCCGGAAGATATTTGTCATGTGTTATGCCATTGCCCTTAAGCAAGAGATAGGAAAAGCTCTTTATTCGAATAGATAGAAATTTGACTCTTTTTTTTTGGATTTAGTCATTTCTGTTACTAATCCCTGGTGTAATGTAAACTTAGCAAGTTTTTTCTTATTTATTATTATTTTTTTTTTGTAATTACTCTATTTTATATTTTTTGGCTAACTGGAGAGTTTTTCCTTTTTTTTAATAAGAAATTGGAGAGTTTTTCTATAATCTCCTTTAGTTGTGGGGATGCTCCCCCTCTTTTGTAAATTTCGTTATATTTTAATGAAATGTCTATTTCTTATAAAAAAAAAAAACCTTATTTTTTAATCATTTCCTTCAACATTTATTAGACCTATGTAGTATAAGTACAGATAGGCCAACTTGGCGTACTCAAAATATATTAGCATTTAATACGCAGGGGAACTTTATATTTCTGGATAAAAAGGCAAATTAATATTATTCTCCTTACATCTGAGGCACAGAGACTTCAAACCTTTGTCTTTTCATGGAGGCACAAGCCTATTATGAGATCCAAAGAAGTTGGAGCCTATTATTATAAGTTCTTTAAGCAAGAAAAAACAGAAACCCAACATTCAAGAGTTTCCTAGCTGAAAGAACATCCACGGAATTTTTCATATAGGAGACAAAATAACATATAGGAACTCCAAGTAAGCTGCTTAATATCCATATAGAATGTACAAGCCACCAAGTAAAACCTTCAAATATCCGAGCAAGATGATAAGTGGAAAGCATAATTCTAACCTATTTTTATTAGTAGTTTCATTAAGATTGTTAAGCAAATAAGAAATGACATGTTAAAAGCTTATCATATTGTACACATGACAGAAACAAAATCAGTATTTTTTTTTTTTTTTTGAGGAGTCACTAGAAACAAAATCAGTATTATGACACTATTTTGAGTTTATATGCAAAAGTTAGTTTCTAAATTGCAAAGCTTGCAACTACCATGCAGTAGAACTAGCACTAGGTTTATGAAGATAAAATGCAATTATGTCCACTCTTTTATTGATGTTTCTGGTCACAGTTCATGATATTTCCCAAATTTGCAACATATATGGCTTTGATGCTCCTTTATCATTCTTTGAAAGTATTTTTAATCATTTCGACATTTCCTTGTCCTTTTTGAGGAGTTGTTGTAGAAGCTCCATGAATTCCCTCCACCCTGATCTATTATCTCCTAGCAGAGTAATAATATCTTCCCTTCCTTTTGCCTCCGTAATTCATCATTTGCAGATGAAGTCCTCTCAATTGTATAATGTTTCTAACCATACCAAGAAGTGGTGCAATTGTTTGTCTAAAAAGTGAGCGAGAAATGACATGAGCTTCTTCTTGGAAGTGTTTTAATCAATTTCTTGTCTTTTCCGGTTGTTGTACACGTCACTAGTTGTTTGCACAAGATATCCTAGTACTGGTGGAAATCCCTTTCTTCTATAATATTGAACATCCATAACACCAAATCCATAACGCAATCGCAATATGAAACAAAAAAAGAAACCTTGTAGATCCAATGCCAGCATTTCAATCAACAACCCAAGAATAATAGGGCACATATACATTCAAAGCTAGATACTAAAATACCATCCGACCTAAAACTTACAAGCTTCAGCTATGCCCGACCTGTCGCTAGGTTGCCGAATTTATGCAGTCACTTGCTGTGCGTCAATCGCCGGAATTTGAGGGGCTGAGATGGAGGCTGGGGGAAGGATGGAGAGCAGATCGAAAGGCGGGCAACTAAAATGTGAGGAAGAGAGAGAGGGATGAAGGGTAAGTTTCAACTACAGCTTTAAGAAGAATCGAAAGAATGGATCTTATATTGCTTTTTAATAACACTTAACTATATTTTTTAAAATTGAAAATAGAAGCTTTCAAAAATCTTTTAATATTTTATATTTAAAAAGTAATTTTTATATTTTAATCAAGGTCGATGTCGATGAAATGTCGAGGTCTCGATTTCATGGAAATATTGATGGAAATGTCGATGTATATTTCTGTAAAAGTTAAAAAAATTAAAAAATCGTAGAAAATATTTAAATTAACCGATAAACATTTTTCTATTTCTAGATTAGTTAAAAATAATTAATATTAATATTATGTATATATTAGTGATATTTTGTTGATATTTTCATATTTTTTCGATTTTCTTGTACTATAATGGAAATATCGATTTACTCCTCGTGTCGATGTCGAACCCATGAAAACATGGATATTTAGAACCATGATTTTAATTAGTAAAATTTTAATTACTTTAAACAATTAGGTAGAATTTTAACAATTCAAAAGTAAATTTAAAACTATATAATTATTTGTTTAGTAAGCTGCCATTTAATTATATTGTTTTAAATTCTATTTTGATTCAAAAACAAAATAGATGGTAACCAATGGAAACAAACAGAATGGGTCGGCCGTAAAAATGCTCTCTCCTCTCTCCTCTTTCCTCCCCTCTCCCATTCATCATCTCCCCTCAACCACCTAGATTCCCGCTCTCCGGCACTCTTTTCCGGCGAGCTTCCCGACCATTGTCCTTTGTCTTCCCCCTAGTCCCTCGCCTTCCTTCTCTTCTCCCTCTCCCTTTTGTCCCTAAGATTTTGCTGTAGCAAGCGGTTCCCAATGGAGGTCAGCGGTTGTCAAGTAGAGGGTAAGTTCTTCTGTATTTTGGGCGGAAAACGACCTCTTCATGCTGGAAGACGTGGTTAGGAAAGAACTGCTTCCCCTTCATCCATCCCATTTCCTTTGGTTCGAGAGTCACATGGCGAAATTAGTTCACCTATCGTTGAGCTCCCCTTTCTTCCAGCATCAGCGCAACGAGTTTGGAACATGCCGAATTCATAAGGTAAAGATGAAACAATCTTGGTTTGTCTCCCTCATTTTCTGGCCGTTTACAGGGGGCAGAAGGGTCATTCTAGTTCCGGCATGTTCTAACAAATCGGGTTGGTATGATTTCTGGTTAATGCTTAAAAACTTTTCTGCTAGGAACGCTGAGAGATAGATGAACATTAATTCAAAGGCTTTTCATGTTCCATTAGCGGAAGATTCAGTTCCTATTCCCCGATCACAGAAACAGGATTCATCTCGTTCTTACGTTGAGGTGGTTAAAAATTCCGTTTCTAGAGGGCCCTCTCCCTCTAAGATTGAGGGTGTAAGCATTCAAGAAAAAGTTGATTTATCTGCGGAGGTTGAGTTCAAGACGGTTAGGCCAGCAGGGAAGAGATCTTGGAAGGCCCATTGGTTCAAGAAAGAGTTTGAAGTGCTGAAAACCGACTGGAACAATATGATAGTTGTTTCCAGATGTTGTGCCCACGATAATTGGTCTAAGATCTCCTTAGCACTTGAATCAAACTACTCACAGCCTTGTGTACTCAACCCCTTTATGGTTGATAAGGCTCTTCTCAAGTTCAGTAATGGCCGAACTCTTGATTCAAAGGAGTTATCTGGTAATTGGCGACAAGTGGAGGGATTTCGTCTTAAATTAGAAAAGTGGTGTACTGAGAAGCATAGTAGACCAGATTTTATTCTGGGATACGGAGGCTGGATTGTTATTAAAGACCTTCCTCTTTCGTTTTGGAATCGAGATTGTTTTGAAGCCATAGGTAAATATTGCGGTAGTCTGTTAGCGATTTCAACGAGAACTTTGAATATGTTGGATGTTACAGAGGCTGTTATTCAAGTGGAACAAAATCAGTGTGGTCTTCTTCCAGCTTCAGTGGAATTAAATCAGAAGGTGTTGGTTCGTTTGAGGCCCGAATTTCTCATTGTCAAGCTATAAGTCCTCATAAGAAAATCTCTTTTCTGTCGGACTTTAGCATTCTTTCAAATCCTCTCGACATTGCCAGATTTCAGACAGTTATGGAAGTTGAAAGATCATTTCCTGAAGGTTTTGATATTTATACAAACATAAAGAGAAAAATGGTCTCATCTGAACCTTCTGAAACGTTTCATTCTCCTGAAAAGAATAGGGAGCGTTTGAGGATCAATGACCAGCATGTCACTTTCGAAAACTTGGCTCAAACAACAATCATTATTAATGAAGATAGAGAATCATCAACGCCGGATAATAATTCTCAGAAGGCGAAGGGTCTAAAGGACCCTTCTTCATTTTTAATGACACGCCAGAGTACCGAAATTAATATCCAGCTGGAAGGAGAGAGAAATATTATTCCCTTGTCACAAGGATTTAATGAAACTATCCCTCAAAAAGTGAAAAGTCTGTCATTTCCTTTAATGCATAAGAAAGCGAAAGGTCACATAGAACCTTTGCCCCTGTTCTACAAAAGAAGGAAAAGAAATGAAGAGTCCCTCTTACTTAATAGCATGGCTCGAATTAATTCAGGGGAAAAATTACAATCAAATTTGTTGTTGGCTTTCAATAAGGAGAAATCATTGCTTCAAGACGCGGCTCCTCTTCCAAATAACAATGATTCTCTCCCCCCTTCCCTCTCCCATGGTTTAATTCATTCAACCAAGAATGAAGACACGATTTATTCGAATTCTCCTCTTCCAAGGGATGATGATTCAACTTCTGAAATAAGCATTAGCAGCCCAGACTCTTCCCCTATTCCCAATTCAGTTGAAACGCCCAGCGAAGTTCTTTGTGAATCATCACTGGCCCATGATTTTCAGTCACTTTTTGACGAAGGCAAGAATGATCAAGAAACAAATGATTTTCCCTCCTTCCTCAATGAGATTGGTATTCAACTAATACCTATCCCCAACTCAGCATGAAGATACTGACATGGAATATTCGTGGCCTGGGAAAAGATGACAAAAGACTGAAAATCAAACGTATAGTCAGGAACTTAAATCCAGACGTAGTTTTCTTGCAAGAAACAATGACATATCAGATAGACTCTTCTTCTATCAAGTCTTTATGGAGCTCCAAAGATATCGGTTGGTCTGTCACCGATCCCTTTGGTAAATCAGGTGGTCTTCTGTGTATGTGGGATGAAACCAGGATTAACGTCAAGGATGTTATTAAAGGGGGTTATTCCTTGACTATTTTACTCTCCTTTTCTAATATTAATGACATTTGGCTAACCAATGTCTATGGTCCAACAGATTGTAAGGAAAGGAAGCATTTTTTTACTGAACTACAGGATCTTAAATCTCTATGCGATGACTACTGGTGTATAGCTGGGGATTTCAACATCATTAGATGGCCGTCGGAAAGATCATGCACCAGAATCTCAAGAGCCATGAAGAAATTCAACAATCTTATTGAGAAACTCGAGCTCACAGAGTTGAAATTATCAAATGGGAAATACACGTGGTCTAAGTCGGGCAATGCTTCTATTCATTCACTGTTGGACAGGTTTTTTGTTTCATCCGGATGGGAAGAAGTATTCTCAAATTCTAGAGCATCTCGAGCCGAAATGATAGTCTCTGACCACTTTCCAATATTTTTGGAGGCAGGGGACTTCAAATGGGGACCAAGCCCTTTTCGCTTTCTTAATTCATGGTTAAGTAATAAAGATTGTATCAACATTATAGAAGACAAGCTTGCCATGGATAGATCTTACGGCTGGGCTGGTTTATCTCTCTCTCATAAGTTGAAAAACCTGAAATCAACTTTAAAGGCCTGGCACTCACAGAATGAAGAAAAGAAAAAAGAGGCAGAACGTCAGTTTTTAAATCAAATTTCCTCTCTGGACGTTAAAGAGGAAGAAGTCGGTCTCTCTATTGAGGAAACTGAGAAAAGAAGCAATCTTCAGGTCAACTTGCTTAATTTGTTTATTGAGGAGGAGCGGGACCTTTCCCAGAAAAGTAAAGTCAAATGGCTGAAAGAAGGGGATGAAAATACCAACTTCTTCCATAGATACTTGGCTGCCCGTAAAAGAAAGTCCCTGATCTCTGAATTGAAGAATGAGCAAGGTTTCTCACTGTTAAATCAAAAGGATATTGAGTCAGAAATCATATCCTACTTTAAGCATCTTTATTCTAGTAGGAATGCTCCTCGGTTCTCTTTACAAGGTATTCATTGGAGACCTATTTCATTCTCAGACAGTTTATGGCTAGAAAGACAGTTTGAAGAATCAGAAATTTGGTCAGCTTTGAATGAACTTGGAAGGAATAAAGCGCCGGGACCTGATGGGTACACTACTGAATTTTTAATCAGATTTTGGCAGCCTTTGAAGTCTGATTTTCTCCGTTTGTTTCAGGAATTCTACCGAAATGGTCATCTCAATGGTTGTCTTAAGGAGAATTTTATATGTCTAATACCAAAGAAGGTGGCAGCTTCAAACATCAGACATTTTAGACCAATCAGCCTCTCAAATTCCATTTATAAAGTGTTGGCCAGGGTTCTTGCAGAACGTCTCAAGAAGGTGATCTCACCTGCCATCTCTCCTACCCAAAGTGCATTTGTTGAAGGTAGGCAGCTTCTTGATCCAATCTTGATAGCTAATAGATGGATTCGATGGATCAATGGTTGTGTTAGGAACACCCGGTTTTCAATCTTCATTAATGGGAGACCAAAGGGCAGAATAAGGGCTTTAAGGGGGTTAAGGCAGGGCGATCCACTTTCCCCCTACCTTTTTCTCCTGGTCAGTGATGTACTTAGCAGCATGTTGGATAAGCTTTACTCGAATGGCTTTTATGAAGGATTTTTTATTGGAAGCAAACAGGTACATGTTTCTCATCTTCAATTCGCTGACGACGTCCTTATTTTTTGTAAGGATAATGATGAAATGTTGGCTAATCTCTTCAAAACAGTCAAAGTTTATGAATGGGTGTCCGGT